TTCGTTGACATCACTGATAAAGATGGCTATTTCTTTAATAGATGATACATTGAAGCATGCTTTATCCACTGCCAATACAAGAATACTGAAAGATGTCAAACTTTCGTAATCGAAATAATCTGGCTCTTTAACAATCAACAGATCTTCATCCACAGACACGATGTGGGAGTATTGAGAAGGAAGGATCATGAACTCAATTCCACCAAGCAACGTGGAATCACACATTGAAGTAGCTGTAAGTGTGCCGATGATCGTGTTTTCAGCGGGGTTTTCTTGAACTGTGAACGAATCAGAGTGTATTTCAGGAGGTCGAACATCCCTGACAATCGTGACATAAACGAGAGTGTAATCGGAAAGGCCTCCTTCATCCTCCACTTTGACATGAATAATGCAAGTAACGTTGTGATCGAGCGATATTCCAAACTGAGGAATCTGCGATGATCCAGTAATTAATTGTCCAGAAGCAGAATCGATACTGAATCCACTGGGACAGGATTGCTGCTCAATGGAGAAGGTATTCACAGAATTCAGATCCTCGTCCATAACAGGCAATGGATATCCGATTTCCGTATTCAAGGGAACAGGCGCCAAGAGAGTGAAATAGTAGGAAGAGGACGAGAAGAATGGAGGTTCATTCACATTCAACACCTCAACATGTATAAATCGTGTCGAATACGCTCCATGCATATCAGTAGCCACGATCTGAAGATCAAATGATTTGGGTTGAGTGGAGTTTTCGTAATCAAGTCCACTTTGCTTCACAACCAAGCATCCTGTATATGTTTGAATGCCAATCCATTCATTTGTATCATTCTCGGCACTCATCGAGTACACGATAGTATAATTCCAATCAGATACATCTGGATCAACAGCACGCAGACATGGATATAACACCGTATCTTCTTCACTATTCTCATAAACATACACAATGGTAGGTTCAGAATCGAAAGTAGGAGCTTCGTTCACGTCAATGACATCAATCATAAAGAAGGAATGAATCGAAAGCAGCTTGCCTTGTAAGTTCACTCCCTCAATAAGGATTGGAATCACATAGTGATTCATTACTTCATAGTCCACTTCACCGATGACTTGAACTGATGCCGTTTTGGAAGTGAGTGGTTGAATGGCAAAGTCGTTGGATGCGATGCTGAATTCCTTGATAAATGTGACATTCGTAAACATGTCGCTGTTTTCTATGGATAATGTGCAATTCTCCAGAGTTGCTGGGAAGTCAGAACACTCAGCAACATAGCAAGAAACAGGATGATAAATGGGGTTGATGGGTGTTGCAGGGATAACTTCAATGGAAATCAGAACACTGCTTGACAAATCATGGTGGTCCAGTGCATTCAGCTGGAACGAGAACGAATTCGTCAGAGTGTCATTGACCATCAATCCATATTGATTTCCCGTTACATGAATCAATGAAACCGGGAGAGGAGCCACAAAGTTGGAGAGGAATAATAGAACATCGTCATTCTCTGGGTCTGAAACTGTGATTGGATAAGCCAAAGTGGTGTTGATCGGCGTATCAGACACAATAGAAAGGGTAGTCGAAGGAACAGATATAACTGGAGGTTCATTCACATCCAGAACGATAATGCGGATAACATTACTAACGACGAGTCCACCTCCATCAATCAACTGAATGAGAAGATTGTATTCTTGTTCCTGTTCATAATCAAGCTCCGAAATAAGTGAAACTCTACACGTGGTGTTGTGCGTTTTGAAGAGGTCCAAATGACTTTGCTGGTAGCAATGAACAGTACCATTCACTCCTTGATCAGGATCATGATACGAAATGAATCCAATGATGCTTCCCACAGGAGTACTTTCAGAGACAAAGAATGCAGTTTCATACGATTGAGGAGGTTCGTTCACATCATCAACCAGTACAGTAAGTGTTTTCGAGTCTGAGAGTGGATTCTGACTAATATCATGCACAGTGATCTGAATGGTGTACATATTTCTTGTCTCATAATCCAAGTGCTGCTTCAAGAACAATTTGCCACTCAGTGGGTCAATGCCAAATACTTCATTCAACTCAATATCAAAGAATAATTGTTGCCCCACATCAGGATCAGATGCCCACAGTCCAGTTTCAATGGGCTTATACAACGGCATATCTTCTGCCACATGAATAATCGAAGGACCGTGGAGAGTTGGAGGATCATTTACATCGATGACATGGATAGTAATCGAACACTGAGTAGACAAGACCGGAATGCCATTATCCTCCACGTGGACATGGAGTGTAAAATGGGACTGATTCCAATAATTGAGAGGTTCGTTAATGATCACTTCTCCATATTGGTTTACAGTAAACTGTGAAACATCATCATCGATGAGAGAATAAGAAAGTGATTGCCTTCCGTGCTGAACTTCGATGTCGGTAACGTTGATCGTGGCAATGACAGATCCCACTGGCTCGTTTTCCATCACATTCACAACACTCCCCATTGAATCAAGGCAAACTGGAGATTCATTGATATCAATCACATTGATTATCAAAAGAGCGGAGGAAGATAACCCATATTCATCAATCGCAATAAGGGTAATATTGAACGACTCTGTTTCCTCATAATCGAGCTTCCTATTCAGAGAAATCTGTCCAGACCACTTATCAATCGAAATGACTGAACTATCTGCCGAATAGTAGATAATGTGGTTTTCTGGATCCGAGGCAGTGACATTGAGCATGAAAGTTCCTACAGGAGTGTTTTCCGGAAGCGAGAGTGAATAAGAGTCATTTTCAAACATCGGAGGTTCATTGACATCAATGACATGGATTGTAACATTGTCACAACTACTCTGAGCAACAGAATCAAAGACACAAAGCATCAAACGATACTCAGAGATAGACTCATAGTCAAGCATTTCTTCAACCGATAGTACAATATCGTCTGCCACAAAAGAGAAGGGGAAGGAATAGTTTTCCACTGTAGTATTTGTAATGTCTGTGACTGAGTATGATAGCTGATCATCATCTGTGGCGAAAATAGGAATTGAAATAAGTGAACCTTGAGGAATATCTTCTCTGACAAAGATGTCATTCTGAATCCAATGCAGTACTGGAGGATGATTCCTCTTCGTTACATCAATATGAATTAAGCAAGAATCATTCAAGCCTCCAGAATCCGTTACAGTGACAAAGAAATCATAATACGAATGATATTGATACTTCAGAGAACTCGAATTGGTCACATACATCAATCCCAGTGTGGGATGAATTCGGAATGGAAGATCATCAGAACTGTGAATTGGTCTTGCTGAGAACGTCAGAGTATCATTGAAATCAGGATCCGTAGCAATAAATTCTGGATAGAGGAAAGTATTATCTTCGCTCTCTTCCATAATACTACGATAAGCCAAGCATGAATCCTGTGAGAGTGCTGGAGGTTCGTTAACATTCGTAACAGAAATAGTGATATTTCCGGTAGCATGATTACCATAATAATCAGTAACAACGACTTGGAAGGCGTAGAAACTCGTAGACTCATAATCAAGTGGGAGAGAATGATAAAGCAATCCAGACTCTGAATCAATCATGAAGGGAGAAGCAGAGGATGACAGTTCATAGCGAAGAGGTGAAGCAAACGTCCCGATAGCAGTGAGAGCAGGTGATAGTGAGATATTAATAGGATGGTCCTCAGCAACAATATAAGATTGGTTCTTCACTTCAAACGAATTAGAATCATCTGTGTTGAACGAGATAATGACAAGAGTAGAATCAATCAGTCCTTCTGAATCTGTTGCAGTCACGGTGACATTATATGACATCCATGGATTTACCGCAAAAGAAATCAGTCGAATCTGTCCAATATTGTCAATGGAAAAGAGAGTGGAATTTGACAACGAATAACTCACAATGTTATTTTCAGGATCAACAGCAGTGACAGGAATGCCAATCGAATCGTACAGTTGAGGAGGATAACTTCCAATGCGATACAGAGTATTTTGTGGGAAATGTGGAGGTTCATTCACATCAAGCAAATGGATTGAAAGCATTATCTCATCAAATAACATGGAAGAATCGGTAACTCTGACTCGAATTGGCCACTGCTCTTTGACTTTATAATCGAAATACTGTAAATCCTTGAGATACACAGTTCCTTGATCATTGATATCATAAGGACAAGAAATGGTAGAATCAATACAGGACAAGGTAAATGCATGCGAATCATGAATATCAGGATCGGTGAAAAGAAGCTGATTACCGATTACAGTGTGAACACTGGCGGATTCATTGATGTAAGCGATTGTGGGAATAATGCCACCGCTCCAGTTCTGATTCTTGATAAACAAAGGTCTTTCAGGAACATCATGAATAACGAAAATGAGGTATGTTTCACAGTAAAGAGACATATTTGTAGCTAGAGATGCACGGATAGTGAAATTAAACCTATATTAAAAGGAAGAAAAAGTAGTCTACTGTTGATTCAATGTGGTTTCATAATCGATATCTTGGACAGTCTGAAGCACTCCAGACAATGGATGAATGGTGATGAAGGAAGTATTGAGCATCGTGTAAACGACTTGCTCGTGTGGTCTGCTTTGTGCCTGGTATGTGGAAATGACTGATCCTATTGGTATGTGTTCTTGAAGATGGAAGAGATCTGGGTAACAAATGGGTGCCTTGTCCACAGCCGACAAAACAACCGTGACATTCTCTTCAGAACAAAGCCTTGGAATTCCAGAGTGAAGTGAAGGAAAACAGCCTTGATAATAGAATAAGGATATGTCACACAACTGAACCAATAGTTGATATCGATTATACTGATATGCATCCAACGATGATGTTAGCATCAATTTTCCAGATTCAGATAGATTGAATGGCTGAATGATCGAGTGAGAGCAGGGTGTGAGTAACGTGAAGGTATGCTCTTGGAAGATATCCTAGAAATGAGAACTCAAGAAGATTGGAACTTCATCCGTGAAGCTGAGTTGTTCAGACCAAGTCTCAGGACTTGCATTCTCATCAATACGAACGGTGAGCGTAACTATAGTGGGAGGTTCATTAACGTGAAGTCAAGAAACAAAATGGCATTATTGATAATAAAGGATATATCCACCACAAACACAAATAACGGGACCATCGCCACAGGGACATGAGAATTGGCAAGATAAACAAGAACCAGACATTCATAGAGCGATTGATGCTCGTAATTAAGTGATTCATGAATAAAGAGAGAGCCATTCGCTCTTATAGACATAACGGAAGATTCTAGGAGTAGATCATTGATTATGACTATACCGTAATGGAAACTAACTGAGGTTAATCTAGAATCATTAACAACAAGGACATTATCGATGATAGTGTTCGGATCATTGTTTTCTTCAATTGTAACATTGGTATAATGAATAATCTCAATTGGAATACTGACAGGATCAACGATGTGAATGTAAATAGAACATCTACGATTGAAGAATATGAATGATTCTACGTATCATTCAATGCTGGTATGCCATCATCCTCCACCAACACCGTTAAAGTACAATCCGTAAACGACTTGGCAAATACATTATTATCTAGTAAAACAATCTCTCCGGTAGTATCATTCACAGCAAAGAAAGCAGAATAAACGGAATCATCTAAGTAATATCAATGGAGAAAGAATACTGAGAATGGAAAAATGCAAAGATTGGTTATAATCAACATCATATGCAACAACATAGCCCAATGATGAGTACTTGGGTGAGTATAAAGGTAACTCAAAAGCAGAATCCAGGGCAACGGGAGGAATATTATAATCATTAAAATAGACAGAAACCGAACAGGTGAATGATGATACTTGATCCACAGCAGTGATGTTGAATTTGAATGGAGAGAACTGATTCAACAACTATAGAATAGTAAAAAATACTCACATTACATACCTGGCGAATAGCATTATCTTGTAAAGTGAACGAAACCTGATGAGTAATGTTCGAATACTGTACTAAGCTAGAAGACACATAGGTTTCGTATGGTAAATTGACAGATCTAATAAACAAATTCGAAATAACAGATTGATAGTCGACGATATCATTCACAATAAACACATCCATAGTATGACTAGCACAGAGTATATCACCTAACTCATTCTCAAACAGTACACGGTTGTACAATCTACGATCACAATAACACCCATTACAAAATACATTCCATCGATACAAATTTCCCAAACAGTCGGAGTGTACAAATCAAATCTATTAGATACTGGTACGTCAAACGGGTAACTGCACAAACCATCAGGCACATCGATTGGTGATTCACTTCCTTCAGGACAATATTTATCTACACTTCCACAATCATTTGCAGTTGCATTTGTAGATCCAGCTAAACAATAATATCCAGCTTCACATAATCCTGAACATTCACTTGTAGTCAATCCTTCAATTGATCCATAAGTACCAGCGGGACATTCATTCTTCACTCCGTTCGAGCAATAACTGCCAATTGGACAAATCGTTTGTTCAGATCGATTTGATTCATTGGATGATTCAGGTCCAGAATAATATCCTTCACTCACATCAATTGGTGATCCACTTCCTTCAGGACAATATTTATCTACACTTCCACAATCATTTGCAGTTGAATTTGTAGATCCAGGTGGACAATAATATCCAGCTTCACATAATCCTGAACATTGCTCATTGCTCAATCCTTCACTTGATCCATAAGTACCAGCGGGACATTCATTCTTCACTCCGTTCGAGCAATAACTGCCAATTGGACAAATCGTTTGTTCAGATCGATTTGCTTCATTCTCAGATTCAGGTCCAGAATAATATCCTTCACTCACATCAATCGGTGATCCACTTCCTTCAGGACAATATTTATCTACACTTCCACAATCATTTGCAGTTGCATTTGTAGATCCAGCTAAACAATAGTATCCAGCTTCACATAATCCTGAACATTGTTCATTGCTCAATCCTTCAATTGATCCATAAGTACCAGCAGGACATTCATTCTTCACTCCATTCACACAATAACTGCCAATTGGACAAATCGTTTGTTCAGATCGATTTGATTCATTCTCAGATTCAGGTCCAGAATAATATCCTTCACTCACATCAATCGGTGATCCACTTCCTTCAGGACAATATTTATCTACACTTCCACAATCATTTGCAGTTGCATTTGTAGATCCAGCTAAACAATAGTATCCAGCTTCACATAATCCTGAACATTGTTCATTGCTCAATCCTTCAATCGATCCATAAGTACCAGCAGGACATTCATTCTTCACTCCGTTCGAGCAATAACTGCCAATTGGACAAATCGTTTGTTCAGATCGATTTGATTCATTGGATGATTCAGGTCCAGAATAATATCCTTCACTCACATCAATTGGTGATCCACTTCCTTCAGGACAATATTTATCTACACTTCCACAATCATTTGCAGTTGCATTTGTAGATCCAGGTGGACAATAGTATCCAGCTTCACATAATCCTGAACATTGTTCATTGCTCAATCCTTCAATCGATCCATAAGTACCAGCAGGACATTCATTCTTCACTCCATTCACACAATAACTGCCAATTGGACAAATCGTTTGTTCAGATCGATTTGCTTCATTCTCAGATTCAGGTCCAGAATAATATCCTTCACTCACATCGATTGGTGATCCACTTCCTTCAGGACAGTATTTATCTACACTTCCACAATCATTTGCAGTTGCATTTGTAGATCCAGCTAAACAATAGTATCCAGCTTCACATAATCCTGAACATTGTTCATTGCTCAATCCTTCAATTGATCCATAAGTACCAGCAGGACATTCATTCTTCACTCCATTCACACAATAACTGCCAATTGGACAAATCGTTTGTTCAGATCGATTTGATTCATTGGATGATTCAGGTCCAGAATAATATCCTTCACTCACATCAATCGGTGATCCACTTCCTTCAGGACAATATTTATCTACACTTCCACAATCATTTGCAGTTGCATTTGTAGATCCAGCTAAACAATAATATCCAGCTTCACATAATCCTGAACATTGCTCATTGCTCAATCCTTCAATTGATCCATAAGTACCAGCGGGACATTCATTCTTCACTCCGTTCGAGCAATAACTGCCAATTGGACAAATCGTTTGTTCAGATCGATTTGATTCATTGGATGATTCAGGTCCAGAATAATATCCTTCACTCACATCAATTGGTGATCCACTTCCTTCAGGACAATATTTATCTACACTTCCACAATCATTTGCAGTTGAATTTGTAGATCCAGCTAAACAATAATATCCAGCTTCACATAATCCTGAACATTGCTCATTGCTCAATCCTTCACTTGATCCATAAGTACCAGCGGGACATTCATTCTTCACTCCGTTCGAGCAATAACTGCCAATTGGACAAATCGTTTGTTCAGATCGATTTGATTCATTCTCAGTTTCAGGTCCAGAATAGTATCCTTCACTCACATCAATTGGTGATCCACTTCCTTCAGGACAATATTTATCTACACTTCCACAATCATTTGCAGTTGAATTTGTAGATCCAGCTAAACAATAATATCCAGCTTCACATAATCCTGAACATTCACTTGTAGTCAATCCTTCAATTGATCCATAAGTACCAGCGGGACATTCATTCTTCACTCCGTTCGAGCAATAACTGCCAATTGGACAAATCGTTTGTTCAGATCGATTTGATTCATTGGATGATTCAGGTCCAGAATAGTATCCTTCACTCACATCGATCGGTGATCCACTTCCTTCAGGACAATATTTATCTACACTTCCACAATCATTTGCAGTTGAATTTGTAGATCCAGCTAAACAATAATATCCAGCTTCACATAATCCTGAACATTGCTCATTGCTCAATCCTTCAATTGATCCATAAGTACCAGCAGGACATTCATTCTTTACTCCATTCACACAATAACTGCCAATTGGACAAATCGTTTGTTCAGATCGATTTGATTCATTCTCAGTTTCAGGTCCAGAATAGTATCCTTCACTCACATCAATTGGTGATCCACTTCCTTCAGGACAATATTTATCTACACTTCCACAATCATTTGCAGTTGCATTTGTAGATCCAGCTAAACAATAATATCCAGCTTCACATAATCCTGAACATTCACTTGTAGTCAATCCTTCAATTGATCCATAAGTACCAGCAGGACATTCATTCTTTACTCCATTCACACAATAACTGCCAATTGGACAAATCGTTTGTTCAGATCGATTTGATTCATTCTCAGATTCAGGTCCAGAATAGTATCCTTCACTCACATCAATTGGTGATCCACTTCCTTCAGGACAATATTTATCTACACTTCCACAATCATTTGCAGTTGCATTTGTAGATCCAGCTAAACAATAATATCCAGCTTCACATAATCCTGAACATTGTTCATTGCTCAATCCTTCAATCGATCCATAAGTACCAGCAGGACATTCATTCTTCACTCCATTCACACAATAACTGCCAATTGGACAAATCGTTTGTTCAGATCGATTTGCTTCATTCTCAGATTCAGGTCCAGAATAATATCCTTCACTCACATCAATCGGTGATCCACTTCCTTCAGGACAATATTTATCTACACTTCCACAATCATTTGCAGTTGCATTTGTAGATCCAGCTAAACAATAGTATCCAGCTTCACATAATCCTGAACATTGTTCATTGCTCAATCCTTCAATCGATCCATAAGTACCAGCAGGACATTCATTCTTCACTCCGTTCACACAATAACTGCCAATTGGACAAATCGTTTGTTCAGATCGATTTGCTTCATTCTCAGATTCAGGTCCAGAATAATATCCTTCACTCACATCAATCGGTGATCCACTTCCTTCAGGACAGTATTTATCTACACTTCCACAATCATTTGCAGTTGCATTTGTAGATCCAGCTAAACAATAGTATCCAGCTTCACATAATCCTGAACATTCACTTGTAGTCAATCCTTCAATCGATCCATAAGTACCAGCAGGACATTCATTCTTTACTCCATTCACACAATAACTGCCAATTGGACAAATCGTTTGTTCAGATCGATTTGATTCATTGGATGATTCAGGTCCAGAATAATATCCTTCACTCACATCGATTGGTGATCCACTTCCTTCAGGACAGTATTTATCTACACTTCCACAATCATTTGCAGTTGCATTTGTAGATCCAGCTAAACAATAGTATCCAGCTTCACATAATCCTGAACATTCACTTGTAGTCAATCCTTCAATTGATCCATAAGTACCAGCAGGACATTCATTCTTCACTCCATTCACACAATAACTGCCAATTGGACAAATCGTTTGTTCAGATCGATTTGATTCATTCTCAGATTCAGGTCCAGAATAATATCCTTCACTCACATCGATTGGTGATCCACTTCCTTCAGGACAATACTTATTTACACTTCCACAATCATTTGCAGTTGCATTTGTAGATCCAGCTAAACAATAGTATCCAGCTTCACATAATCCTGAACATTGTTCATTGCTCAATCCTTCAATCGATCCATAAGTACCAGCAGGACATTCATTCTTCACTCCGTTCACACAATAACTGCCAATTGGACAAATCGTTTGTTCAGATCGATTTGATTCATTGGATGATTCAGGTCCAGAATAATATCCTTCACTCACATCGATTGGTGATCCACTTCCTTCAGGACAGTATTTATCTACACTTCCACAATCATTTGCAGTTGCATTTGTAGATCCAGGTGGACAATAATATCCAGCTTCACATAATCCTGAACATTCACTTGTAGTCAATCCTTCAATCGATCCATAAGTACCAGCAGGACATTCATTCTTCACTCCATTCACACAATAACTGCCAATTGGACAAATCGTTTGTTCAGATCGATTTGATTCATTCTCAGATTCAGGTCCAGAATAATATCCTTCACTCACATCAATTGGTGATCCACTTCCTTCAGGACAATATTTATCTACACTTCCACAATCATTTGCAGTTGCATTTGTAGATCCAGGTGGACAATAGTATCCAGCTTCACATAATCCTGAACATTGTTCATTGCTCAATCCTTCAATCGATCCATAAGTACCAGCAGGACATTCATTCTTCACTCCATTCACACAATAACTGCCAATTGGACAAATCGTTTGTTCAGATCGATTTGCTTCATTCTCAGATTCAGGTCCAGAATAATATCCTTCACTCACATCAATCGGTGATCCACTTCCTTCAGGACAGTATTTATCTACACTTCCACAATCATTTGCAGTTGCATTTGTAGATCCAGCTAAACAATAGTATCCAGCTTCACATAATCCTGAACATTGACTGGTGGTCAATCCTTCAGTTGATCCATAAGTACCAGCAGGACATTCATTCTTCACTCCATTCACACAATAACTGCCAATTGGACAAATCGTTTGTTCAGATCGATTTGATTCATTGGATGATTCAGGTCCAGAATAATATCCTTCACTCACATCAATCGGTGATCCACTTCCTTCAGGACAATATTTATCTACACTTCCACAATCATTTGCAGTTGCATTTGTAGATCCAGGTGGACAATAGTATCCAGCTTCACATAATCCTGAACATTGTTCAGTGCTCAATCCTTCAATCGATCCATAAGTACCAGCAGGACATTCATTCTTCACTCCATTCACACAATAACTGCCAATTGGACAAATCGTTTGTTCAGATCGATTTGCTTCATTGGATGATTCAGGTCCAGAATAGTATCCTTCACTCACATCAATTGGTGATCCACTTCCTTCAGGACAATATTTATCTACACTTCCACAATCATTTGCAGTTGAATTTGTAGATCCAGCTAAACAATAATATCCAGCTTCACATAATCCTGAACATTGCTCATTGCTCAATCCTTCAATTGATCCATAAGTACCAGCAGGACATTCATTCTTCACTCCGTTCGAGCAATAACTGCCAATTGGACAAATCGTTTGTTCAGATCGATTTGCTTCATTGGATGATTCAGGTCCAGAATAATATCCTTCACTCACATCGATCGGTGATCCACTTCCTTCAGGACAATATTTATCTACACTTCCACAATCATTTGCAGTTGAATTTGTAGATCCAGCTAAACAATAATATCCAGCTTCACATAATCCTGAACATTGCTCATTGCTCAATCCTTCAATTGATCCATAAGTACCAGCAGGACATTCATTCTTCACTCCATTCACACAATAACTGCCAATTGGACAAATCGTTTGTTCAGATCGATTTGATTCATTCTCAGTTTCAGGTCCAGAATAATATCCTTCACTCACATCAATTGGTGATCCACTTCCTTCAGGACAATATTTATCTACACTTCCACAATCATTTGCAGTTGCATTTGTAGATCCAGCTAAACAATAATATCCAGCTTCACATAATCCTGAACATTGTTCATTGCTCAATCCTTCAATTGATCCATAAGTACCAGCGGGACATTCATTCTTCACTCCGTTCGAGCAATAACTGCCAATTGGACAAATCGTTTGTTCAGATCGATTTGATTCATTCTCAGTTTCAGGTCCAGAATAGTATCCTTCACTCACATCAATTGGTGATCCACTTCCTTCAGGACAATATTTATCTACACTTCCACAATCATTTGCAGTTGAATTTGTAGATCCAGCTAAACAATAATATCCAGCTTCACATAATCCTGAACATTGCTCATTGCTCAATCCTTCAATCGATCCATAAGTACCAGCAGGACATTCATTCTTCACTCCGTTCGAGCAATAACTGCCAATTGGACAAATCGTTTGTTCAGATCGATTTGATTCATTGGATGATTCAGGTCCAGAATAATATCCTTCACTCACATCAATTGGTGATCCACTTCCTTCAGGACAATATTTATCTACACTTCCACAATCATTTGCAGTTGCATTTGTAGATCCAGCTAAACAATAATATCCAGCTTCACATAATCCTGAATATTGCTCATTGCTCAATCCTTCACTTGATCCATAAGTACCAGCGGGACATTCATTCTTCACTCCGTTCGAGCAATAACTGCCAATTGGACAAATCGTTTGTTCAGATCGATTTGATTCATTGGATGATTCAGGTCCAGAATAGTATCCTTCACTCACATCAATTGGTGATCCACTTCCTTCAGGACAATATTTATCTACACTTCCACAATCATTTGCAGTTGAATTTGTAGATCCAGCTAAACAATAATATCCAGCTTCACATAATCCTGAACATTCACTTGTAGTCAATCCTTCAATTGATCCATAAGTACCAGCGGGACATTCATTCTTCACTCCGTTCGAGCAATAACTGCCAATTGGACAAATCGTTTGTTCAGATCGATTTGATTCATTGGATGATTCAGGTCCAGAATAATATCCTTCACTCACATCAATTGGTGATCCACTTCCTTCAGGACAATATTTATCTACACTTCCACAATCATTTGCAGTTGCATTTGTAGATCCAGCTAAACAATAATATCCAGCTTCACATAATCCTGAACATTGCTCATTGCTCAATCCTTCACTTGATCCATAAGTACCAGCGGGACATTCATTCTTCACTCCGTTCGAGCAATAACTGCCAATTGGACAAATCGTTTGTTCAGATCGATTTGATTCATTCTCAGTTTCAGGTCCAGAATAGTATCCTTCACTCACATCAATTGGTGATCCACTTCCTTCAGGACAATATTTATCTACACTTCCACAATCATTTGCAGTTGCATTTGTAGATCCAGCTAAACAATAATATCCAGCTTCACATAATCCTGAACATTCACTTGTGATCAATCCTTCACTTGATCCATAAGTACCAGCGGGACATTCATTCTTCACTCCGTTCGAGCAATAACTGCCAATTGGACAAATTGTTTGTTCAGATCGATTTGCTTCATTGGATGATTCAGGTCCAGAATAATATCCTTCACTCACATCGATCGGTGATCCACTTCCTTCAGGACAATACTTATCTACACTTCCACAATCATTTGCAGTTGAATTTGTAGATCCAGGTGGACAATAATATCCAGCTTCACATAATCCTGAACATTGCTCATTGCTCAATCCTTCAATCGATCCATAAGTACCAGCAGGACATTCATTCTTTACTCCGTTCACACAATAACTGCCAATTGGACAAATCGTTTGTTCAGATCGATTTGATTCATTCTCAGTTTCAGGTCCAGAATAATATCCTTCACTCACATCGATCGGTGATCCACTTCCTTCAGGACAATATTTATCTACACTTCCACAATCATTTGCAGTTGAATTTGTAGATCCAGGTGGACAATAATATCCAGCTTCACATAATCCTGAACATTGCTCATTGCTCAATCCTTCAATTGATCCATAAGTACCAGCAGGACATTCATTCTTTACTCCGTTCGAGCAATAACTGCCAATTGGACAAATCGTTTGTTCAGATCGATTTGATTCATTCTCAGTTTCAGGTCCAGAATAGTATCCTTCACTCACATCAATTGGTGATCCACTTCCTTCAGGACAATATTTATCTACACTTCCACAATCATTTGCAGTTGAATTTGTAGATCCAGCTAAACAATAATATCCAGCTTCACATAATCCTGAACATTGCTCATTGCTCAATCCTTCAATTGATCCATAAGTACCAGCAGGACATTCATTCTTTACTCCATTCACACAATAACTGCCAATTGGACAAATCGTTTGTTCAGATCGATTTGCTTCATTGGATGATTCAGGTCCAGAATAGTATCCTTCACTCACATCAATTGGTGATCCACTTCCTTCAGGACAATATTTATCTACACTTCCACAATCATTTGCAGTTGAATTTGTAGATCCAGCTAAACAATAATATCCAGCTTCACATAATCCTGAACATTGCTCATTGCTCAATCCTTCAATTGATCCATAAGTACCAGCAGGACATTCATTCTTCACTCCGTTCGAGCAATAACTGCCAATTGGACAAATCGTTTGTTCAGATCGATTTGATTCATTCTCAGTTTCAGGTCCAGAATAGTATCCTTCACTCACATCAATTGGTGATCCACTTCCTTCAGGACAATATTTATCTACACTTCCACAATCATTTGCAGTTGAATTTGTAGATCCAGCTAAACAATAATATCCAGCTTCACATAATCCTGAACATTCACTTGTAGTCAATCCTTCAATTGATCCATAAGTACCAGCAGGACATTCATTCTTCACTCCGTTCGAGCAATAACTGCCAATTGGACAAATCGTTTGTTCAGATCGATTTGCTTCATTGGATGATTCAGGTCCAGAATAATATCCTTCACTCACATCGATCGGTGATCCACTTCCTTCAGGACAATATTTATCTACACTTCCACAATCATTTGCAGTTGAATTTGTAGATCCAGCTAAACAATAATATCCAGCTTCACATAATCCTGAACATTGCTCATTGCTCAATCCTTCAATTGATCCATAAGTACCAGCAGGACATTCATTCTTTACTCCGTTCACACAATAACTGCCAATTGGACAAATCGTTTGTTCAGATCGATTTGATTCATTCTCAGTTTCAGGTCCAGAATAATATCCTTCACTCACATCAATTGGTGATCCACTTCCTTCAGGACAATATTTATCTACACTTCCACAATCATTTGCAGTTGCATTTGTAGATCCAGCTAAACAATAATATCCAGCTTCACATAATCCTGAACATTGCTCAGTGCTCAATCCTTCAATTGATCCATAAGTACCAGCAGGACATTCATTCTTCACTCCGTTCGAGCAATAACTGCCAATTGGACAAATCGTTTGTTCAGATCGATTTGATTCATTCTCAGTTTCAGGTCCAGAATAATATCCTTCACTCACATCGATCGGTGATCCACTTCCTTCAGGACAATATTTATCTACACTTCCACAATCATTTGCAGTTGAATTTGTAGATCCAGCTAAACAATAATATCCAGCTTCACATAATCCTGAACATTGCTCATTGCTCAATCCTTCAATTGATCCATAAGTACCAGCAGGACATTCATTCTTCACTCCGTTCGAGCAATAACTGCCAATTGGACAAATCGTTTGTTCAGATCGATTTGATTCATTCTCAGTTTCAGGTCCAGAATAATATCCTTCACTCACATCAATTGGTGATCCACTTCCTTCAGGACAATATTTATCTACACTTCCACAATCATTTGCAGTTGAATTTGTAGATCCAGCTAAACAATAATATCCAGCTTCACATAATCCTGAACATTGCTCATTGCTCAATCCTTCAATTGATCCATAAGTACCAGCAGGACATTCATTCTTCACTCCGTTCGAGCAATAACTGCCAATTGGACAAATCGTTTGTTCAGATCGATTTGCTTCATTGGATGATTCAGGTCCAGAATAATATCCTTCACTCACATCGATCGGTGATCCACTTCCTTCAGGACAATATTTATCTACACTTCCACAATCATTTGCAGTTGAATTTGTAGATCCAGCTAAACAATAATATCCAGCTTCACATAATCCTGAACATTGCTCATTGCTCAATCCTTCAATTGATCCATAAGTACCAGCAGGACATTCATTCTTTACTCCATTCACACAATAACTGCCAATTGGACAAATCGTTTGTTCAGATCGATTTGCTTCATTGGATGATTCAGGTCCAGAATAATATCCTTCACTCACATCAATCGGTGATCCACTTCCTTCAGGACAATATTTATCTACACTTCCACAATCATTCGCTGTTGCATTTATAGATCCAGGTGGACAATAATATCCAGCTTCACATAATCCTGAACATTGCTCATTGCTCAATCCTTCAATTGATCCATAAGTACCAGCGGGACATTTATGTTTAATGCCTAATGTACAGTAGTGTCCTGGTGGACAAATGACTTGTGCTATTTTAGGGAAGGAGTCTTCGGGTATGGTGTAGTATCCAATAGCAGCCTATTATCAAAATGTATACATTATTGCTGCTTACTATGTTTGCGTCAATACTGCCTTCTGAACAATAGTTCATGGCCACACTGGGACATAGTATTTTTTCATCATACAACATTCCTATATTTTGATTACCTTTTTTTTACTTACCACACTTTGGACAGTAGTATCCTTCTGGACATGGACCTGCGCATTCCGCTGTTGTGTATTGTTCTCCTTCTATACCATAGTATCCTTAGACTTATTATCAAGTTATACATATTACCTCTTTTACATTCTCCTGCACACATTTTGGATGTGATAGTATTGCCTACAGTTGCCATCGTATACATGCCATCTTGTGTGAATCCAAACACTCTTGATGAACACTGCTTTTTTACACCATAGTTACAGAAATGATCTATACACTTATGGTTCTATACCTATTTTACTGGCAGGGCAAGGCTGGTAGTTACCATCTTCATCCACATAGAGATCAAATACGAACTAGGATGTTATTAATGCCACTTGCTTACCTCAAACAAAGGATCTCCTTCGTCTACGCTTATGTCTTCATACTTATTTACCTCATCATTATCACACACATAGTAACTCTCTTGACAAAGCACAATATTTAACAATAATATAATACCTAGTGTTTCAAGGCGCATTTCAGAATATATTTGCTCAGATATTTGTGTAATCTAACACGTGGTGACTTGCAAGGTATTTGTGAATCTTAATTTGGATTTATTTTCTACCTTTTCTGAATATTATCTGAGTGATCCATGGTAATAATCGTGTTGCACACTGTATTTATAAGCGATATGTCATTTTGATCATTGATGTTGTATTTTTTGTATATGAATATATATTTTTGTGACAATATGAAGAGTATATCATAATTTTTAATGTATCGGCAGAAGTGGACGTGCATTTGTATATTTAATGTGTCTCGGAATAATAAGTGGCTAATATTGTTGTATAGTCCTTACTTATTAGAAATGGATAGTGTGAAAATACATTAGACCATGTAAGCTAAATGCTTTGTATGTTTTACGGAACGCAAGGTTTTTATGTTGGATTTGACCATTCCTCTCACTGGGGATAATTTGCAGTTAATGTATCACTGTCAGTTTTATTATGGGTATTATGTCTGTTTTCATGTCTATATTGTGTATATGGCAGATCTACCGGAAATTACGGCAGTTGTGTTGATCCCTCATTTTTCTTCGATATGCGTGCTGCTGTCACAGATCCTATATCGTAATTCACCGTACTTATTAAAACACCGATTTGTGGTCATTTTGATTTCCTTCATATTTAGCAGATTTTTGTGTATTGCTTTAAATCTACGAGTCCTTGTATATTATCCTGATAACCTTACTAATCTCATTAACTCTTCATGTGGCAAGTATCTCTATTTTTGTTTGCATTCACTAATATTGTGTATTGCTGTTGTGTTGATTCTAACAAATTTTTGTTTGGTTGTGTAGTTTGCTTTTCATAATTTGAGCCAATTACTGTACGTTTCCCCCAAGGTGGAAACTTTGCCTTCTGTTTTGTAACTCCTCTGTTACTACTCTTTATCTCATTGAAATTGGAAAACTTTGTATCATTTCTCCTGTTTATTACCAATTTTCTTTATAAGGTATGTTTGATTTGTTATATGATATTCTGTTTGAATGTTGTTTGACATTTCCTAGTAATCGGGTTTTACATATCAAATGTTAATTGTTTCTGACGATTCTACGACTTCTCCTAATTTTTCTTCTTCTTCTTTATCACACGAGCCTGATTCAGTGTCATCCTTGGGAAGCAAGAGTTGCAAACTCTGTCGAAAGCAGTTGCCAAACGAGCACTTTCACAACCCTAAGAACACAAAATTGTTTTCTGTTTGCGACATTTGCAGAAAAAAGAAGCGTGATAAGTATTGGCGTAGGTATCGTTGCTTGTGCGTTATTTCTAGGGAATAAGGAACTCCTCCAACAAACTGTCATGGATACTAGAATGACTTCAAGAAGTCGTCGAGTCCGTCTGCGAAAAGATTCCACAGCATCTTCTGATGCCAAATCAAGGGGGCGTACCACAGCCTTAACCGATTCTTCTGATACGCTTTCTTCGCAGTCCCAATTTTCGGAGACTGTTTCTGTACCACCACCACAAAAGGATGTAAACTACCTTAACTCCTTTCCCCGCTCTCCGGGTCGATTAATCATTGTACCTCCAGAGGTTTACACATTCATTCGCATTTACTACAACAATCCAGATTATCTTCGCGCTTGCTTAGGGGATGAATATTGGGCTGCATTGTGTACACCCAACGCACTGGCTGCAGTGGATGGAAAGAACGTTTTTTGATGAGAATTGTTCTATTTTGTGTTGGATCTGTTGGTGTTTGTTTTAGACAGTTTCTCTACCCGTGGTGTCATTTTGGATGCGATTCTAGGCTATGCGCAACCTGAGAGATTGACAAAGGAATGAAGGTGTTGAAAATAGCACCACGACCGTTCCATATGTAAAAGGTGATTTCATTTCAACTAGTTAATACCCATTCTAGGCCAGTGTAGTAGTTGCCCCTCTCTCTCATTGTTATAACATGTGTAGTTTGTATATCACATTTTGAAGCTATTCCACCATGAACATTATTTGTTTGACCGCTGGATTGTGATCTTTACACTCTTCTTATTTAGAATAGAATCCTTTGGCTTTTCCTTTATATTGCGCACTGTAGACTCATGCCCTCGTAATTATCTATGGAATTGTCGATTTATGTTAATTTGGAGTTATATTAGTTATTCGTCTGTTTTGCCTTGTATACTATTATTTGGCAGGTTCTCCTTACCAAATATCTCACGATCCCTCGTTTTCTTTTTTAACGTATTTTGTGTTTTCTGGTGTTGGATGGATAGCATTTTACCTGCAATCTTTGTTGCATACTCACAATAACAAAACGCCATAGTTAGATTCGATCTCACCCTCGTTACACAAGTACATTATTGGCCAATGCTTTTTTCTTGTTTCTAAATGGATGAAACAACGAGAAAGAGACGGAACGCAGGATGCGAATAGGATTACGTCGATAATAGCTACCAACCGTGTTGTTGGTGGAGAAATGCACAAATATCGTTTAACTTTCCCAAATCTATCTATTACCTGTTCTTTGCAGTAATTCAGGTTTGTCGACACTGATCCATATTCAGTTCCGATCTGATAATCTCAAGGATCCACTAGTTGTCTACTTTCCTTCACTTATTTTCATTCCCATCCTCAATACGATGGATGAGCCATCACAAATCTTCGACCTCTTGATTGTGTAAGTGTGTTTTCCAAAAGGAGAACGACGTGCCCTTTCGTTTTCATTCACTAATACCTTTTTTATATGGGTGATTAAAGAAATCGCTTACCACTGGTTCTTTTTTTATAAAAATTGGAGGCCTGTAGCTACTCTTCCATGTTCATCGTGGTTGTGAGTGTAAAACGTTGTTTACTTGGATCGAAGAATAATAGTGGTTGAATGGATATTCCATGGTTCATAACTTATTCTTTTTGTTGTCGCAGTTTTGTGTTTACCATGTCTAACGTGGAAGTGAAGGTGGATGAAAAACAGAAGGTTGATGCGAAAGGAATGGGGTTGCAGAACAATGAGTTGATCAGTGATCTGACAACGTTTACTCCCCAGTCCATTGTGCCTGAGGTGGAAGTAAAGGTGACTCCGAAAGTCGAAATGGAAGTTGTTGAAAGTGGTTTACTTACAAACTCGAGAGTTGTACTTTTTTCTGGTTATTATTCTTAGTTTGCTGTTAGTTTGATTAAGTCTATCACTGGTTCTGGTTGTCTTGGAATTCCATTTTCAATTATGAACGTATTGAAACACAGATTGTATAACGGCTTAGATGGGTATTGTTCCTACAATTATTATGTTTGCTTTCGTTGCCTGGGTTAACGTGATCAACTCGAAGTACCTTATCGAATCGAACGACGGAATTCGGAAGCATGTGGTCCCAGTGCATCATTCGAATCGCGTTATCAGCAATGATTACGGTAACCTTATGTTTCAAGTGTGTTTTCTTTGTATTGTTTTATTCTTTAGTTATGGGGAAACCCTGGCTATTACACCTTCCTTTTCTTTTTCTTTGTGACCATATGGGGTATTATCATCGGCACAATCGTTTCCCTCCTTTTTTTCATTCATTCCCAGATCGGCGTCATGGACAACATTAAAAACTTGAACTGGCCCGAAGACTTCTTAGGCGGTGCCTCCAGTCGCAATCTCATCTTCCACATCATCCTCACCCTTCTCATCTACATCGTCTCCTGCATCCAAGACCTCGAGTTTCCCCGTTTCCCCTTTTTAACGCATAGCAAGCTCTTCTTCGTCTCTTGGTTCGGAATCTTCACGCTTCTCATCTCCTACCTCGCCGTCGTCATGTTTCTCCGTTTCTCCTTTTTAACGTTTAGCTACGGTTTCGTTTCGTTCTCTCCGAAGCTCTCCTCCTCGCTTTTCTGGTTCTCCAATTTCCAGAACTTCGCCAAGTCCCTCGGCATCGCGCCGTATTCCCTCGGGTACAACTTCGCCTTCCTCACTTTCTACGTTTCCCCCGCGGTTCCTGCTCACGCGTAGAAGCAAGTCCGCCACGAGGAGCAGCCGCGCACGTACCGCGTGACGAAGCAATGCGTGGTGGGCATCTGCTTCGCGTACCTCTCTCTGGCGTCGCTAGCGGCGGTGTTTTTCAGCGCGGATCCCCGCGGGGTGCAGCAGATCATCGTGCAGAACCTGCCCGCGTCGTCGTGGGCGGCGGCGCTGATTTATGTGCTGGTGGCGGCGTCGTGTCTGTGCACCATGCCGGTGTTCATCTCGACGACGGCGGAGCTGCTGGAGAGCGGATGTGTGGAAACGGGGAAGCGGTGAGGCGTAGGCCCGAAGGGAAAGATGACGTTCTTTGTGAGGGATTGGAGAAGGCTGGCGATTCGGGGAGTGCAGGTGGGAGTGCTGAGCGGAATTACTTACGCGGTGCCGTTCTTTAGCGATATTTGTAGTTTTGATATCCGCGTTGTGGCTGTTTGTTTGTGTGTTTGTTTGTGTGTGGAAGAGGAGTGAGGGAGTATTGGATTTCTATTGCTTCTTGTTTTTTGATGTGGAATTGATTCAATGATGTGGAATTGATTCAATGATTTGGAATTCATTCATTGATTTCTTTTTTCTTTTTGTATTGAACGTGGCTTTCTTTCTGCCATTCCCTGGCTTCCTTCGTAGCCTTTTGTCCTCTCTCTCTCTTTCTCTCTCTCTTTTGCTATGTATTGTGTATTGATCGTTTTGTTTCCTTCATTCCACTCGGAGGATTCGCTTTCGTGGTGACTTCGATGATTATTCCTGTGATGATTCACTACTTCCTGTTCAAGGATACTCTGTCTTTTAAAGGTTATTTTATGCATGGATTTATTTTCCTCTCGTCGGTTTTGATAATGGTTGTCTCGTCCTATTACTCCCTGATCGAGCTCGGATCTAAGCTTTCGTCTTAATTTTTACTACCACTCAATAGGAATAATGAAAATCAATTTAATTTTTTAATATCAATGAAGTCGGATTGTTTGTTATAAAACGAGTTTTTTGTTTTTACCTTTTCGTTTTCCAAAGATTGATCTATGGGAAGCGATATCAGTAAGCCTTTTTTAGATGAGTTCTGGAGGAAGAAAGGAGGTTCATTACGTCAAGGTGTATCTGAGATGTACCACAGTAAGCTGCATATTTTATGGAACCCCTAATTTGCAGTGAAAATTGTACTTCGAGGAATGAAATGTACGGGTAAAACGAGTCTCTTCGAAGTTTTCCAAGGCCATGCGTGTCCCGACAAATATATTCCCTCGAGTGAAATTAATACAACACAAGCATACTGGACGAATCCTCAAACAAAAGAACGAGTTAAGGTTGCTGTCTCTTCGCTACTTTTTAATTCGCAGATTGAAATTTGGGATGTAGTGGATCAAGCTTCTGTATCTGAAAAAGATCAAGTCAGTATCGACAAGCTTCCTGGTACGGTTTGCCTTTGCTTTTCTTTCTTCTAGAAATGACAAAGAAAGGCAGTGTAGCTAGTGGCAGCTACATTTTCGGTTCTCCCTCTCTCCGCATCTCTCACTCATAGAAGGCGTGGACGCAAAAAACGTCAATGTGTATCAAGGATGCCAAGCCTGTCTTTTCCTTCTCGATCCTCGCAATGTACGTTCCCATTCTGTTATTAGTGGATAACCTCGCAGCTCGACTCCATCGAATACTTCAAACAAAACGTCACGAGCGTTCCCATTCATATCCCCATTCTCGTCATCGCAAACTTCCGCGATCAATTCGATGCCTGGAAAATCTCTCCAGCGGAGCTGCAATCGCTAATCGACGACTACTCGCAGCTTCCTTCGCTCCCGGAGTCGGAATCGCACGATCCTCCGCAGCCCGCCGAGCTCCTCTCGGAATTAAGTTCATTCGGCACCATGCTCGGCGAGCTGTACGAAGGCCGTCGCCGCGTGATTAAGCTCATCGAGACATCCATGCTGGAGAAGTTTGGCCTGCACGTAGGAGATGATGATGCTCGACATGATGTCCAGTCGCTGTATCTTTTCCTCTGCGTTCCATTCTTCATTTTCGAACTGATCCAGCTCCGTACGCAAATTATCGTAAGCGTTCGCCTCGTTTCTCACCCAAGGTGGCATTGCAGCAATTGCGCGAAGCCGATGAAACGCTCGCGAACTACGTAAAAACCGCGACATACGAGGCGTTTCAGATCATGCGGCGCGAATACGAAATGAAACTCCGCGAGGAGGAGCGACGGAAACGCCTGGAGGAACTTCGAAAAGAACGATTGGCCGAAGACGATGAAACGCCCGCCAAAGATGCGAAGAAACTCCCTGGCGATGAAACGCCCGTGTCGAAAGAGCGGGAAAAGAAGAAGCCGTTTTTAGCGCGGGAAAAGAAGAAAAGCGGGAATCGCATCAAAACCGCGGAAACTTCCGGGAAGAATTATGAAACGCTCCGCGGAGAAAGTGAGTTTCCACGGTTTCTCCGATGCATAGAAGGGGATGATTCGTGGAAACGTGGAACCGTGGATCCGTGGAACCTTCCGAGCGACTCGGAGAACGAGCTAGCGAGTCCGTCAGAATTCCCGCGGGAGAGTCGTTCCGCGGGGCTGTGCGCGTGTTCTCCGGGGAGTTCGTTCTACGACGAGGAGGGTGGGCGTTATTTTGAAGGAGGTTTCTGGTAGAGATGGAGCGGCGGCTGGGCGCGACGCTGCAGCGCATGGAGCTGGCGGAGCTGGTGCAGGCGGACGCGGAGGCGACGCCCACGCTGGCGCCGACGTCGTCGTCGAACTCGCTGCTGGTGGGCGAGGAGTGGAGGCAGCGCAATGGGAGCGTGCAGTGGAGGAGGCCCCGCGGGGGAGAGGAGGAGGGAGAGGAGGGGTCCAGTGGGTCCAGTGGGTCCAACGGACTCTTCGATGGACCCGTGTCGCCCCTCGAAGCCATCGGCGCTGTCTCTAGCGAGGGACCCAGCGACAAAGACCAAGGAACCAGCGGATCGGACCAGCAGGCAAGAGAGTTTTCGGTCAATGGCTCTGCCAATGGCTCTGCCAATGGGTCTACCAATGGTTCTGTGCCTGGTTCTGTTTATCACTCTGTAGCCTCTGTGCCTGGCTCTACCAATGGTTCTACTACTGCCTCTGTGCCTGCCTCTGTGCCTGCCTCTGTGCATAGCTCTACTAGTGGCTCTATGAGTGGCTCTACCAATGCCTCTCTGCCTGGTTCTTCCAGTGGTTCTATTCTTGTCTCTTCCGGTCCTGCTCCGCGCGTCGTTTCCCCCGCTTCCTCGCTGCACCGCGCTGCTCCTGGCTCAGCCGTGGACAAACCCGTCGCCTCGCCCTCGGCAATGCCCACCTCGCCCTCGGCAATGCCCACCTCGCCCTCGGCAATGCCCACCTCGCCCTCGGCAATGCCCACCTCGCCCTCGGCAATGCCCAGTTCCACCAAGCGCGGGGGTTTCAATCCCCTCACCCGCTTCACTGGATTGGCGCGCCGGCCCAAGCCCGCGGCCCCGGCAATGCCCAGCTCCACCTCGGCAATGCCCAGCGTCCCCTACGAGGATTTTGCCGCGGGGGAATCCAGCGCCACGCCCTCCCCCGCGGATTTCCCGCCCAGCGACTCCGACAGCGTTCTCTACCACGCCATCCCCGCGGGGAGCGACGACGATGAAACGCCTCACCCCATTGGCTCCCCAGAATCGCCGATTCCCGCGGAACTGACCGGCAAATCCGCGCAGAATCGCCGATCCCCGCGGGACCTCCTACCCCGTTCTGTCGAAACAGGAGAAACCGTGGAAACCGGTGACGATGAAACGCCTGCGCTTCCCGCGGTTTTTTCGGAGGAATTTTCGGTGCGTTTCCAGAAGCTGCCAAACGAGTCTGAAAACCGCGACAAATCGAAGGGCGTTTCGATGAGTACGCGTCTGAAGAACGCGTGGAACCGAATCCTGGAGGAAGACGGCGAAGATGACAAGAAGAAGAAAAAAAGGCGGGAGAAAAAGGCGGGAATTCCCGCGAAACCCGCGGAGGCGGGAAGTGGAAACAGCGGAAACGGCGCGAGCGGAGAGAACGCGGCGGCGGCAGGAAACGTGGGAAGCGTAGGAAGCGGCGATTTGCAGGCGAACGGAGGGAAAAAAGGGAAATGGGAGATCGAAACGAGTTAATGATGGCGATGGAGATGATGGGTAGAAGTGATCTCGCCGGTGAAGAGGATGTTCAACTCGCTGAAGCCGACGCAGAAGAGCCATTCGGCGAAGGAAGGAGAGCCGAACGCAGCCGATGCCGATGGCGCTTCGATGGAGGGCGGAGAAACCACATCGGTTGTGGATACGGTGCAGGAAACGAACGCTGGGGCTGGAGTCGAGGCGGCGGAGGCGTCGACGAGCCGATCTGCGTAGTGTATATTGTGTTTTGATTGTTTTGTTTGTTGCAGAAATTGTTTGAATTCCCGCGGTTCTGGTTGATGTAAAAATGAAAGTTCGGAATTGAATTCTTTAAAATCCATTCTGTGCCGCGTATGAGCTTTCGAGATTTCTCTGCTGGAAGATCAAATAAGGGATATGCCCCTATGAATAATAGAACGCCGTACTTTTTGAAGAAGTGTTTTTTACGTGTTAGGGTCAGGCCGAAAGGAAATAATAATGACCAGCTGTCGACCTCGGTGGAAGATATTCGAATCGATCTTCAAAACCTGGATAAGAAGATCACCGAACTGAATCGTATGTTCCAGAATTTGGGAACGCGTGTCGACAATCAGCAGTTGCGAACAGAGATGTAAGCACCAAATATTGTGTCTCGATACAAGGAAAAAGGCCATCCGTGATTTGCAGTCTATGCTATCGAAACTGAACGAGCACTTGGACGAAATGGACCAATATGCAAAGACAAAGGGAAAGAACGTATTTGTCATTGCCATTCGATTCATCGTTAGCGAGACATGCTCAAACAACTCTCCGAGCTGCGTCGCACAAAGGAGAAGAAGGCGCTTCAGATGAAAGAACTGATCGATAAAGCGGAGGAGTACATCCGTCAGAATCCTCCCCAGCCTGTCGTGTATATTTATTTTGACCCAAATTTCGCTCATTCCTAGCAGCTCTGCCTATCTGGACACGGAAGAAGTGGAGAACAAGTTCGACAAGTCGGGATGATGCAGTCCTCCTCCTTGTAGAGTGAATCCGAGCAATGCGAACCTGCAGTACAACGAGCTGCTCATCCGCGAGCGACACGAAGATATTTTGGCGCTGTCCACGGAGATGAACCAGGTGCAAACGGCGTTCAAAGATTTGGCGGAAATGATCGCAGACCAGGGCGAAATGATCGAAGACATCGAGGCCAACGTCACGTCTGCCGCGGAGCAGTCGAAGCAGGGCGTGAGACAGATTATGGTGCGGGAGTGATCGGGTTTTGAGGGGTAGAAGGCGAAGGCGAGCCAGCGATCGTCGCGGAGGAAGTGTTGGACGATTCTGACGATTGTGAGCGTGGTGGTGATAGTGGCGGTCGGGCTGATTATTTGGATCGAGGTGGCGAAGAGGAAGGAGGAATAGTTTGGCGATGTTTGTTGGAAATGCAATAGTTTTGTTCTTTCTTTCTCTCCTGCGAGGCACAATGACTGATGAGAATGATAGAAGGCTGGCAAAGCTCTATGTTTTGATGGAAGATGGAGAGTGGAAGGAAGAATGTATGGGAATCGTTCTTTTAAATATGGATACAGTGACCCTTTTGGAACGGAGTCAGGTGTAGGAAGAGGGCGATCAAATGATTGAAATTCACAAAGTGGGAGAAATTCAGCAAGTGCTTCGACAAATCCTGATTCATCCAGATATTGTATATCAAGAAAATGATAGTAAGTGGATATTGCCATTTCTTATGCGAAGAGTGTCTAATCCAGTGGTCGGAAGACAAAGATCACGAATATGCGCTCAGCTTCCTAACAGAAGATTATCGTAACACTATCATGTACAAATGGTTGGGTGTCCTAACTGGAAGGAAGCAAATTCGCGCAGTGAGTAGTTCCAGTGCCATTTTATCTCGTATATATTGCTTAGTATAATGAAAGCCTAATGAAATAGAGCTCAAACAGCAAGTAGCTCTGGAATCGCCCACCTCCTTCTCTCTACCCGACGTTTCGATGGCGAATCTTTCGGAAATCGCTCTAACCCTCCTGAACGTCACTCCTCCCGACCTCTCTTATGTCGTTGCCCGATTCACCGAAAATGTACATTTTGCTTTGTGAATTTCGAATCAGAACGCTTCCTATTTCAAAGAACTCTTAGAAATCGCAGAAACGAGCATTCTTTTAGAAGACCTCACTCCAGTCCATGAACTCGCTCTCGCCATTGTGTTCCTAGGTTGGTTTCTGCGCGTTCAGTGGTTATTATTGATAGCAGCCAAAAACGATCCCGAACTAAATACCCTCCTTTTCGGGAATTCCAATTATCTCCGCGTTTTCAACATTTTGAATTGTTTGTTCTCTCCCGTGTCGCCTTATTCCATAGATTACAACGATAACTACTTAGAAATCCACGCAGATCACTGCTCCACATTCGAACACCACATTCATTACCATGATGTCCTTTCGATCTCCGATCACTCTCTCCTCGACCTCATCCACATCACCTTCCGTCTTATCTACATCCGCGTAGCTCCTTTCTGCATTTTATTCGACGCTAGGACGCCGTCTCTCCGGACATCGTGGGCGTTTCAAACACCGGAATCGCGGTTGCAATCAACGAAAACATCCAAAAAATCCTCATGCAGCTCTGCGACGATCCCCGCTACGCCGCCCAGATGTAGAGCTCCCCGCGGGGATGTCCCGTAGAATGAAACTCCTGGATCCGACGCAGGATTTGACGGAAATCGTGGGTTTAATTTACGAACTTTTCTACATGTCCGCGGTGGTGGACGAAACCGCGGTTATCGCGCTGTTCAAGTGGGGATGCAGAGGGCGTTTTATAACTGAAGAGCGTTCTGCGGGTATCAGGAGAGCGAAGACGAGTTCGAGGAGAAATTTGTCATTCCAAAAGAACCCATTATTTTGGACAAATGCGCGCAGATTTTGGCGTCCGGCCATCAAAAGCCAGAAATCGTCCAGAAAATGTATTCCAGAAATCGTGCCTTTTTTTCTTAGCGTGCTCATCATCGAGCGGATCTGCCGGCTGAACCCGTCGTTCTGCTGCTCGTTCTTTCTGAGCAAGACCCGCGGGGAACCGTGCGATTGTCTGGGCGAACTGATCGGTCTGCTGCTGGAGAGCGAGGATCTGGGCGTGCAGCAGAGCGTGTATCAGATCCTGGGGACGCTGTTCGGCCGGGACGCGACGATGAACGTAGGAGAGCTCGAGAGAATGAAGCGCAGCTCGACGACCGGCTGAATCTGCGGCAGTTTTACGCGGTTTATTTCCCCGTTATCGAGCAGGCGCTCCTTCACGCGCCAAATACCGCGGTAAACGCCACGCTTCTCGCCATCGAGCTCGTCACCGCGTTTCTCCCCATCCACCAGACCTTTCTCCGCGGCGTGTTCACCGCGGGAAAACTCCTCGAAACGCTGATGATGAAACTGCCGATGGATTGTGTGCCCAGCGTTTCGATGGTCATTCGGTGTGGTAGAAACGGGGAAACGGGGTTCCGTGTAGCGGTGATTCGGCTGCTGTCCGTGGGGATCGGTCTGCAATCGTCGTGGTTTTCCACGATTCTGGTTCACCGCGGTTTATTGAGGTTTGTGTACGCGTTGACGACGCCGGAAATTCTCCTCAAAGATTCGCTTCTGGCCGCGTCGCTGCGGAATTTCTTCCAGTGGGCGCTTCTGAATCACCACATCGAAGTTTTGCTCGATGTGGCAGAAAAAGTCCCGAATTTGGGAATTGCAGAAATCACCCCGTTTTCCGACATTTTGCAATTTGTGAGGGAGAAACCGGCTTCCGAGTTGGTTGAGAAAGTAGTGGCGTTTTTTGGAATTCCAGAAATAGAGCGAAATGCAGGAGGAATTGGAGGACGAACTGTATTTGGATTCGGTGAATTCTGAGGATGAAACGCCCGCCATGATGCCGGTTGAGGACGAATCGACGGAGAAACCGCCGAGTGAAACTCCCGACGATGGTTCAGGCGAAACTCCCAGGGAAACGCCCAGGGAAACGCCCAGGGAAACGCCCAGGGAAACGCCCAGGGAAACTGCCGGGGAGGTGGACGGGAACGAAGGCGAGCAGCCGTCGATCGTTTCGTTCTTTGGGAGATCGGCGGGTGTAGCGCCGAGCAGCGGATTCAAGTTGAATCTGACGATCGATCTGGGAACGGTGAACGCAAAGAGACAAAAAATTAGTTCTGAATGGAGTGTTTGTTGGAAATCGTGTTTGAAGGAAGGGGAAGGAATAGAATGGAGGGGAAATGGATGATGTTTAAAACGGGGTGAATGACGATAATTACTCGAAGTCATTAGTACTTTTATACTTTGCTATCCTTTGAATATCTTTGAACAACAATTTCCCTATATTACTAATTGTGTTAGTGCTCTCAACTTTTGAAATGAATAGATTGTTGCCATTATGGCAATAGAGAGAAGGTATAATTGATGGAATGTGTTTGGATCCCAAAGAATCGATCTATCATTTTCATTCTGTGGTAATATTGGATTGTAATATACAAAATCAATGTAAATATCGTAAATTTGCTTTATACAAAGCACAATATAATTTATTTTGATAAAGAAAATCGTCTTATGAAACATAATATTTTTGTAGCAATTCATCGCATCTTGAATATCTAAGCTTTTTATTATTTACAATTAACATTTCGCTCCATTTCAGCATTCTTTCCCATATCTCCATTAGTAAATAATGTGTCACACTTGCTATACCATTCATTTTATCATATATGGAATCTTTGTGATTATAACTGCTTGTTTATTTCATATCTAATTATGAACAAATGAATTGTTATTAATGCAAATGGGGAATGAATATCTCTATTGTTCATTGAAAATCGTATTCTGAATATACAGTTTATTCCTTTCTTTTAACCATTCAATCAAGTCTATTTCATTATCATCATTCAAAGAAATATCTTGTAGTATTCACCTGGAAACATAATCTTTATGTTAGTTAAGCAATAGAAAATGAACTCTAAATATCATGATTGTTGTGTAGTCATCTCCCCATTACTGATTGCTTTGCCATTTCATTTATCTTAATCTCTTCATTGGTATTAAATTGGACTTGATTCAATTAAATGCATAGTATTTTTATCGAAAATGAAATGTAAACTCACAAGATATATAATACTAGTTATATTATTTTCAAAGCGAGAACCACGGAAGAATATATGTAAACAATTATAATGGAATGGAGGTAATTGAGTTATAACTTTTTCAACAATGGTTAATAGGTATAAATAGGAACAATCGAATATTGAAAATATCATAAGGTCTCATGGGTATAATTGAATAAGCAGCTAAATAATCAACTTACTCTCTGAGTGCTTTGTGTGTGTTTGTAGTCATAAATACATTATTTCTGGATGTCCCTAAGGCAATATATATTATGAACATGCTTGGAATATCGAATGTACCTGATTATTATACATGTGCGGGGTGCGAGGATATTCATACTGCTTTCATGGTGCATTTTTGTTTACACAATATTATAGTTATGTCTATGTTATGGGTTTCAAAAATGTATCAAGATAATACAATTGTATCATAATAAAATGCAAATTCTCACAGTAAATGAAAGCAAGGATATGCTTGTTCTAAAACATAAAACGAATGTAGATTACACATTAATAGAGATATTAAGGATGAAATGCTTGCTTTTTACAAATGTTGCTGAATTTCATTATGTTTTTCAACAATACTGTACAATACAGGAATGTGATGATCTAGATCTATACATGAGGTAAATAAACTAATATCTGAAAAACAAAAAATACGTATTGTTTCATGCTACTGCAGATTGTATGATGTAATCTGCATGAAGATTCATACAGAATTATGATTCTAAATTGAAAAAAACAATCCTACTGGTCTAGTTTAAAATTAGAGTTAGGGAATAGAGTGTATGAGTAAACTCGAATATAAAAAAGACAGTATCCTGAAAGAAAATGTGAATAGCTGATATTAACCATCTATATGAAAAGATAGAATAATGAGTATTTGTGATTGATTGTATATTTTGGCTTATCAGTATACTCCATGGAATAGAATACTGTCAAAATAAGATAGGTAAGTGTGGAATAATCAGAAATGGCCAGTATGAATGAAAACAACAACAATACTAGAATGTAATAGAATAGTAGAAAATAACATATGTATGAAGTAGCAATGGAAATGAAGTCATTTTCACAAATTACGACAAACAATAGCTGAAATGATGATATTTCACAGGGATCTGCTTTAGCACATCCTGAAACGAATTACATAGATCATGCATAGTTTTGCTTCAAAACAAACAAAATCCAGACAAACACGATTCTGTCATTTCATTGGTTTAACACAATGTTTGATTCTGTTAAATCCATTTTCATAAAATAACTAATTCTGAGTAGCAGGAACAATACTGTTGATACTTAGTACTGGAATAACCAATCGATGAATGAATGATTGGAGTTTGTAGTAAATTCCGTTATTGTTAGTTGGAATGCACAATGATTGGTATATAGTGGTTGGAACTGAATGATTCATAGATATTATCACAGATTGTATGCCATATGTGAATCGAATTGTACTGGAATGATTTGTGTAATTGGTCACAATCTATTGAATGAATATGAGTTGGATGTACAAAGATTGCATAGCATGGAGATGGTTTGTACCATGAATGAATGAAAGAAAGGAGAAAAGAATAGAAGAAATAGTATTCATTGCTTAAGATCTTAATCCATTCAATGATATGTATTAGTTATTTATTATGAATGTAATACGTGATAATGATAATGAAGAGTGAATGAGAGAGAATCGAAATGAATGGAAATGTGATTGATTGTGATATTGGAGTTGGATTCGATACGATTTCAGCAATTCAACACTGAAATGAAAACAAATGAATGAATGAATGAATGAATGAATGAATGAATGAATGAATGAATGAATGAATGAATGAATGAATGAATGAATGAATGAATGAATGAATGAATGAATGAATGAATGAATGAATGAATGAATGAATGAATGAATGAATGAATGAATGAATGAATGAATGAATGAATGAATGAATGAATGAATGAATGAATGAATGAATGATATCTTATCTAAGATATGATTGACAATCTCAATACACTACTCACAACCAATGATCTGTAAATCAGTAACAAGGATATCATTCATTCATTCATTCATTCATTCAATCTATTCTATTCTAGTTTCATTGCCTTGTTTTATCCATTTCACCTCTATTTGATTCTATTCTATTCTATTCTATGTATACAGTGATCGATTCCTATTCAATAAGTCAAAATCAATATCCTAATTCAATATCAATCATTCTATTCTATTGTATTGTATTGTATTATCTACCGATTTAACAATGGATTCACAAATGTGAATAATCATCCAATATCAATCGATTCCAACCATTCCATTGTGTCACTATCAAATCCAATCTTATTATTCACGATTTTGATTATGATTATTCGAAGCAAGCAGTTTCCTATCAATATTGAACAAATCCTAGTTCAAACCTATTCAAACCATCATTTGTATATTATTATTATTATTATTGGTAGATTGGATTCATCATTTGTGAATGTTCAATATGTGATCATTGGGTCATTGGTAATAATAATGATGATAATCGAAAACAATGATTGATTGATTGAAACAACAATCATAATTGAGTATCATTGTTAAAATGGTAAAGAAGAACATCATAATAATCAGGTAGGATTGATATTTTGATAATTATAGAATCATGAATTGTGATCAAGAATCGGTTTGAAACAAACAAACAAACAATCAATCAATCAATCAATGGAAATGTTCCTAAACAATGACGAATCACTGAACAAATCAAATCAAATCAAAATTAGAGATTTAATGTTTGATTTAATGGACAAGTCTAGCGAGAATGGAAGAAACATCTATGAATCAAATCAAATCAATCAAACTATACTCGAAATTGATTTCGATCGAACTTTCTCGAATGAATTAGGTAGCTTGACATTTTGAAGATTTGGAATATCTAAATACTATCAATATTCAATATTCAGAAATACTTGCCAATGTCACTACACGAGGTTCACGGAAACTATATCCAAAGAGACAAGATGATAGTGATGTTAGATTTGGAAGATCTACAAAACAAATCATAACCAATCAATTCATTATTACTTCGAAGTGTCAATGAACAAGAATCATCCCATGATCTTCCATGAAGTGCACAATCACCGAGTTGAATGGATTGTAATGATGGAAGATCTACATCAATCATTTCATTCGAATTCATTCAATACTTTCAATTATTGTTGATAAGGAAAAACAGAATGCACCATTACCTAATGTGATGGATTGTAGATTTGGAAGATCTATGCATCATTCAAATATTCAATATCATGTCAATACCTCGAACCACAAATGAACTATAATAGAAATTGAATGAACCACTTTGAATGGATTGTAATTGTGGTAGATTCTTCAATTCAAAGTCTCCAGCAAAATCACTGAAACTAAATTCACTAATTTGAATGGATTCCAATGATTCACAATTCAATATGTGGAATGATTTCGATTGGTTATTGCCCTTTGAATCCCATTCTTCAGTGGTGTGATAGCTGCTAAGCCACTCTTGTTTCAGTTGAGTAAATGAATTGCTTCCGATTTTGATAGTTTTCAATCGATTCAATCCATCGATTTTGAATGTTTCCACTGAGCCAAAACATTCATCGCCGATTTCGATAGATCGTAGCCACTCGAATCGATTCAGATCCAATGCATTCAAATCGTTACAGCAATTCGATGAAATCTTCAAATCGGTCACTTGCAAACTCACATCGGTCCATTTTGTAGATCCAGTGACGCTGAATCGAAGAGGAACAGGTTCTTCGCGTTTTGGAGCAGGAGCAGGAGCAGGAGCAGGAGCAGGAGCAGGAGCAGGAGCAGGCACGGGCATCGGAGCGGGTTTGGGTTTGGGTTTGGGTTTGGGTTTGGGTTTTGGAGTTGTGGATCGAGTGTACCATCCATCATACAGATCTCTTCCACTCACTTCCACTCCATCTTTCCATTCCACTTCGCGAGTAGCAATCCGAGTTTCTTCATCGATCCAGTATCCTCGACCATTTCGAAGAAACGATTCTTTCGATTCATCATACACGAATTCACCCACATAGAGGGGAATTCGATTCGAAGCGATGGTGTTGTTCCCGCTTCGCTTGAACTCGATCATAAGAGTTCCTTCGATCTTGCGGATGATCTCCGCCAGCTTGTTCCCCTTCCAGATTCCCTCAAGCAGCATGGCACCCGTTTTTTCGTCATATTGGATGCCCCATCCTTCTCGTTCTCGCTTATCGTTGAACTCACCGTGATAAATCAGGTGATCACTCGCATGCGAATAGATTTCCATTCGCTCACCTCGGACATGGTTTATAATACGACGAAAATTCTTTCTGTCCCAGATTTCGTCGAAAGATTGCACAAATGCGACACATCCGTTATCAAATCGGGTAAAGTCGCCGATTTCGTTCTCGTCCGCATCCACCTCGTAGCACATCTTCAGTATGCCATTTTGGAATAGGCAAACCTTCCCAGCTCTCGTCAACGTGTATTCATCCTCGTGATCGCCTTGATAGCATTGGAGGCTATAGTTGCAGCCTCCAATAGTGATTTCCTTTGCTTCACCAAGCGTTATGTAACCGTCCAGGAGAAATTCGCTTCCCTTAAGTTCTTCCATTCTACCTATTTATAATCACATATTCTTAGCCTCTACTCTTTGAATCCGTAATTTGTAGCCAAATATAAAGAATTTATGAAGAAAACAGAGAGATCAGTTTGTTTCCGTACACCTAAGTATTCTTCATATTAATAAATTATGATAGAGTGCTACCATATACACATTGGATCCAAGATTTCCAAGTGAAGTACTCACTTGTGTTTCGCATCATTTTGTTCACATTTTTGTGGTTGAAATAGTTCGGAGGTATAGATATTTATAATATTTATAATATCAGGATTGTTTGGAAACACTCAGAATGGAAAAGTCCATTTTGTTGTCTACTATGTCTGTATAGGTTGTATATTTATGATATCATAGTGAAATCGTGTTATGAAGCAAGGATTTGGTTGTTCACTCCACTTTGTCTAAATAGTCTATATTATCATTATTATTATTTCGATAATCCAATCTATCCATCCATGATTCTAGCCAAATCATTTTGACTTGGGAATGGCTGGGTTTGAAAGCAATTCAAACTAGTAAAACTAGTAAATCAAATCGAATGGAATGGAAATTGGTTTTGATCCAGTGATTTTCACACAAAGAACCTATCTTCGCACATCGTTAACCATTCACTCCATTTTCTATCATTTCCTTATCCTAAACCAACCAACTAACTCTAAATGCACTATCTTTCTTTCTTTGTTTCAACTATCAACTCACAGCACTCTATTATTATTATTATTATTATTATCAACTAGAGTCGTTTGGTTCCTCGTTCTGGATTATTCTGTTCATGTTTCTAAATCATTCCAACACCCTACACACTCTAAATCTACATTTTCCTTCTTTCCTTCCTAAACACATTTTCGATTCTCATTCAAATCCTACAACGCTTCAACCATTCCACATCTCTACAATTCCATCCATCCATCCATCCATCCATCCATCTTCCAAACCAAACACCGCAACCATTTCTCTCTCAGCAACTGTCAAATCGGTCTGGATCGTGGAAACGTGGAAACATCGCGACCCACGGCGCACCAGGCGTGATCGACGAGGTGGGCGCGGATGAGCGCGCCGGTCACGTCGTAGGCGAAGAGGAAGCGGAGGCGGAGGCGGAGGCGGAGGCGGAGGGGCTGGGTGACGGAGACCACGGTGGCGTTCTGCGCCCAGTTGGACAGGAAGAGATCCAGAGAGCCCGGTCGACTCTGCACACCTTCGTAGGGAGCCACGGACCCCACCCCATCGCCCACCAGATTCCTGCTCACTCACACCCACACCCACACCCACACCCAGAGCGAACCGGTGAGCGAGGAGGTTGGCTCGCCGTCCACCACCAACACCCAACGAATTCCGACGTGGCCATCGTGGACACTCCGAATTGCCTGCCCAGCCACTCGGCACTGCCCACTTCGCTCGGGACGCACTCCAGCGTGTAGGAAGTCGCGGGGATCCCACCCTCCAACACGTCCCACACATCGCGTCCCGCGGGGAACCAGACGGTTCGGCGGAAGGAGGAAGGAGGAAGTCGCGGGAGCGCGAAGCTCGCACGTGGCGGTGCAGAGATCATGGAAGGATCCGGTAATCGCCATCGCACAGTCCCACTCAATGCCCTCCGCCTGATTCCACACACACCGCATACAGAACCGCGGGGATCTTCTCTTGGCGGGAGAGATACCCGGTGAACGCGGCCACGCTCAGATAGATGGGCGCGTGCTGCACGCTCTGCACGCTCTGCACGCTCTGCACGCTCTGCACGCTCTGCACGCTCTGCACGCTCTGCACGCTCTGCAGGTCCAGGAAGCAGTTCGTGCTGGCGACCTCGCTCTCGCTCTCGCTCTCGCTCTCGCTCTGGATCACGGCCATCGACGCCATCCACGAGCGTCGCACCACGTAGTACCGAATGCTGGCGCCGCCCAGCTCCGCCGGCTCTGCCCACTGCACGCGCAGCGAGGTCGAGGAGAGCGCGGCCACCTCGAGGTTCTGCACCGCGCCGGGCGCGACGACATACGCGGCGAGGGTGATGGGAGAGGAGGCCTCGGAGAGGATGGAGCACGCGGCGGAGCACAGCGCCACGCGCACCCAGTAGGCCACGCACGCACGCATCGAGAGAGCGAGAGAGAGAGAGAGAGCTCGGGTTGCTGGACGTCGCCCTCTTGGAGGAGCGCGTCGGCGGCGAAGAGCTGGGAGTGGGAGCCAACCAAGGCCTGCACGAAGAGCTCGCACCACCACCAGACCCAGCGCACCTGCGTGGCTTCGAAGGCGGCAGCAGCACGACGGGCGCGGAGGGAGGCAGGGAGGCAGGCAGCAGCACGACGGGGCGGTAGACGGAGAAGGACGCGAAGGCGGACCAGGAGGCGCCTTTGCGGACACGCCAGCTGATGGCCATCACGCTGTTCACAATGGCGCCCGCCACCAACACGGAGCGCGTCTCGAAGAACTGGCTCTGCACATTGCTGCCCATCAAGGCCATCCATCGGGGCTTCATCGGAGATGCCACTGCTCCAGGGAACCTCCATCTGCACAGACACGCTGCGCTAGCGCTGGCGTCTACTCCACTTCCCTCATACCAATCGCGCTCTCCACAATCCGAGCAGGCCACAACCGAACGCCAACCGAACGCCAACCGAACGCCAACCGAACGCCAACCGAACGCCAACCGAACGCCAACCGAACGCCAACCGAACGACAACCGAACGACAACCGAACGCCAACCGAACGCCAACCGAACGCCGGCGCGGGTCGAGAAGGTCGCGATGAGGGTTTCCGCGGGGAAGGGGAGGCCGTTTCGGGACACCAACCTGTTGGCATTGATGTAGAGCGTGCGTGCCTTCGCAGAACCGCGGGAAGGAGCCATCGAAGGCGAACCCAATGGTGTAGTCGGAGATGGAGATCGCGGTGGTGGGATAGGAGAACGTGGCCTCGGCCAATTCAAACACGATGTGGATGTTCATGGGCTCGAATGGGTCGTTGATCACCTCGCCCACGCCCACATTGCTCGTGCAGTACATCGTGGATTGCTTCCCATCTCCCATCGTCCACAGCGCCACGTCCCTCGCCCCATCGCCCGCCACGCAGCGCAGCGCAGCGCAGCATCGGCAGGATGGGCTGGCAGGAGCTCGTCCCCTATCGATCGATCGATCGATTCCCACTGCTGATAGGCGTTGCACCCATCCGTGATCATGCCCCACTAGTCCACATCGCACTTCGTATCCAACACTTGCCCCAAGTGCCCTTCCGGCTACCCCGCCGCTTCGTCCGCGGGGCACACCACCGCCACGCACCTCACCTCTCTTCCATTCCACCACTTCCCACACGCCCGCACCACGCACACCTCCACCTTCCCATGCTCCACAGACCCACAAATGCAGAACTGCACCGTCTTGGAACTCGCCTGCTCCCACTGGCCATTCCAGTTCACTCGGCTCGCATCAATCAGAGGCGAGGACCGTATCCACAGCAGTTCGCATACTCCGCCTTCTTGTCCCATTCTCCCAAGTTCCACACACGCTCCGCTTCTACCAACCTACAGCTCTTGCTCCCATTGTTTGCCCTTTCACTCATCGCAAATCCGTTCTCTCTACCACACTCTACCACCTCACAATATGAAAATGAAAATACGAGAAACAGAACAGCTATCCTAGGCAAGAACGTCGTGCCTGTCCCAGATACCTCCCACGTTGCAAGTTATCTCCATGTATCCGCGGTCACACATGGCATGAATGGGTTCGCCACGTTACACAGTTTGAAGTACAGAAATTCCTCACTCGGAACACATTCCACACAGCAAAAATGGAACCAGGGTCCACCGCCATTATGGTATTGAATGCGTTCACGATGCATATCTCACACACACAGTTTAGGCAAAGTAACGATAGCGCACACTACACCAGCTTCTTCAAACACACCAACTTGAGGACAGAACCCATCCCAGCTACAATACTTACACTCCCACAACACAACACACAAAAACACATACAAGTCCGAAAACAAAACAAAAGACAGGACATACAAGTCCAATTCCAAATTTTAAATACATTCAAACCCAGTAAGACGAAGCTAATAGCTTTTATTGTAAAACAAATGATTTCAAAAATACACAGGAATTGTGCAATTGTGAAAATAGTGTTGAAATTGGGTATGAGTGGAAGAATAGATTTCGAATAGGGAGGGAGTTGTTTTTACTGTGAAGTGGAATGAGATGAGCGGAAATGGGATATTGTGGAATGAATAGATCGAAGAGTGTTGTTTCCAGTGGAAGCGTTTTGTTTTTCGTTCTATTCATTTGAAATCTACTCTAGATGGGATAGAAAGAAATAGGGTATGTAGAAGATGATGATAGGAATGAAAATGGAAAAGCTAGCGATAAGCAGTTTTTGGGTTATCATTTATAGTAATAATAGGTGATATGTGTATAGTAGAATCGAATAGTAGAGTTTGTGAGAAAGGTGTGTGTGTCGTTGAAGAACTGAGCAAAATAAGGTAGAATACATAATATATTTTATACGAAC